ATAAATAAACTCACAATATCTCATTTCCTTATATCACCGCGGGAGCCTTCACATATAATTTTTTAAAGAAAATATTTTTCCCCGAAATAGCATCCCGCGTTTTAGCCACCCTTATCACACCGCATGACTTTTAGTAGTTCCCCTACTAGCCACGCGTTTCAAGCCACCCTTATTTCACTGCATGCGTTTCAACACCCTGGCCTTGTATCACCGCATGCGTATCAATATCACAATATTTCACAAATCGCACCTCATGTGCCCAATATCACAGCATAATACAACTTGCACCTCAAGTGCCCAATTATCGGAGCATAATACAACTTGCACCTCAAGTGATCACATATCAAAACATATCACAAATTGCACATCAAGTGCTCAAATATTACAACATATCACAAATTTCACATCCAGTGCTCAAATTTTACAACATATCACAAATTTCACGTCAAGTGCTCAAATACTACAACATATCACAAATTTCACATCCAGTGCTCAAATCTTACAACATATCACAAATTTCACGCCAAGTGCTCAAATATTACAATATATCACAAATTGCACATCAGGTGCCCAAATATTACAACTTGCCACATAAATCAACAATACATTATTTTTCCACAATAAGAAGCCCACGGCTCGGTCATACTGCGCACAAAATTTCTAACAAAATATCTGGGAGTGAAAACTCAACAAAATAATATTTTACAATTTAACACTTCGCCTCAATATAATTTACAGCCTTTAATACTCAATATCAATTTCAACAACATGAACTGAAAAGAAATTCATCAAGGGACAACACTTTTTTTTTTTAATTCACAACTTCATGAAATAAATAGATTTATTCATCTTATTAACTAAATTTCTCATTTAAATTGTAAAAACGAAAATTATTTCCATAAAAATAGCAGCTCAAACAAACACAGAGTTCACATAAAAGTCAAGTAGCAATCGCACCAAATTATCATATAAAAATAATCTAGACAAATAAGGAATGAGACATGACAAATAAGAGATTTAATAAGTCCCAACAATTTTCCAATTTAATACATAAGGTTGTCTACGAATTTTAACCGATATAATTTGCACATATAAACCAAGTACGTACTCATCACCTCGCGTAAATGGTTTTCAATCACACAATTTCCACATAAGACTCAATGCCTAAGGGGAAATTCCCGACACAAGGTTAGGCAAGATACTTGCCTCAAATCACGCTATCTCAATCAAATAATAGACATTTTTCCTTGATTATCCAACTCTGAATGGTTCGAATTTAGCCAAAAATAATTCAATACAATCAACACAAATTATTGGAATCAATTCCATATGAAAATACCAAATTTTCCAATAAAATTTGAAATTAGATAAAAAATCGCCCGTGGGGCCCACGTCTCGGAATCCGACGAAAGTTACAAAATATGAACGCTCATTCAACCACGAGTCCAACCATACCAAAATTACTAAATTCCAACAACAAATCGACCTCCAAATCTTAAATCTAAGGTATAGAGAATTTCTACCATTTTCAACCCAATTCGCCAATTTCATGATAAAAACAACAATAGATTCATGTATTTTAACTAAAATCGAGTTAGAATCACTTACCCCAATCCATATGGTAAAAATCGCCTCAAAAATCGCTTCAATCCGAGCTCCATAGCTTCAAATGTGTTAAAAATGGCTGAAACTCTCGTTTTGTAATCTGTCCAGGTAAGTCGCAGGTGCCGAATACGACTTATAAATCGCATTTGGTAACAACGATTTGCCTCTGCCCCAGAACACATCATTACCCGCCTTCAGTAAATCAATCATAACTTTTTGTACAAATGTCCAAATGATGAACGGTTTGAAGCATTAGAAACTAGACTCAAAGACCTTTAATTTGATAGGTTGTGCATCACATAAAACCTTATATATATATATGTAGATATGCTCGTCCAAAGTGTGATCTTGTGCGTGCTCATTTAGAATTTTAGTCTATCTTGAAATTTTCCAACTTGGCTTAAGACTTAGGCTTCTCCTTAGACCCCAAATCACTTATAATATACTTCGTACACTTATTATCATATCCAATTGATTCCATTATATTAATAGTCCGTCTTTGCACATAAAATAATATAATTAGCGCACATCAACTTTCTTAATAGCTTAAGTACTTCAAAAAATTTCTGGGGTGTTACAGGGTGCCAAGGGGGTAAAACATCCAGTTAAAATAAGGATATTCAAGAAACTTACAGAAACACAATTGAATGATTATATCTCCCCAAAACAGTAAGCTTTACAAGTTTAGCTCATCCACGTCCACAAGGTTAACAGATCACAAGAAGAAGGGTGGTTATCCTTGCACTAGGGTAGAAAGATTGAGTTATCAGATGCTCCCGGGTCTTTGGTTCAATGGCAAAGGTAGTACATCGCGGGATGTATAGTAGGTGTGGATGTCATGAGTATGAATCCTGGCTATTGAACCCAATCTGGTATTTATGCAGAGAACAGTACAAGGCGGGTCCATTATCTACAGAGTTTCAAAACTGAAAACTTGGATTTATCGGTATCAAAATTTTAAAAAAGATTGAGTTATCAGATATTTAGATCTTTCATTGGTACTTTCCCTTGAAGCATTCTTCTGTTCCTCTCCAACCATTTATTCCAATTTTAACATTTCTGAAATTGAGTTCCAACTTTTTCTATTTCTGCCCGAGTAACAAACGCTCAAGCTAACTGAAAAGTCCTTTGCAAAGAGGGGAATCACCCAGGTACTGCCACTAAAAGAGATGAAAAAATGTCCAACACTCAGCCGGCACTTGTGTTTTATATGGAGGGAAATGTGATTGATTGTTTCCGTAGCTGGTATTTGAACAATGCATCTACAGATAATGCAGTGTTCCCGTGTTGCTATACTATACATAATGAAAGTACCTCACTTTCTCTCTAAAAGGAAAGGAATAATTCAACGCAAAGTTGCTGTCTTTGAATCCTTAGGAGTTCTTCAAACGAGCATGTATTGGTTACTTCTGGCTGATATTATGAGAACCAGATAACTAGAGCTGCATATGTCAAGAAGCTTAATATTGTGCCTTGATATCGGGGTGTATCACTGAGGTTGTGACAAGAGTCTGGTTCCTATGATCTCAGCTCCATTTGCTATGAATATTTTTAGTTTGAGTAGAGATAAATGGAAGACTAGAGATCCTCTAGTTCTAGACAACCTTTAGCCTGTCGTAAAAGACTAATTTTTTTTTTAATAATTGGAAGTGGAATGATTACAGTGGATTCATTTCTTTTGTCACAAAGAAAATTCTTGAAGGCTAGTGACGCACGGTCCGAAACTCGGTGGATATTGGGCAATTTCCTTTAACTTTTTCTACTTAAATGCCAGGCTTTTATCCCAACAGGGTTCGAACCTATGACGTGCACCTAACTCACACATCACAACAAGTTGTGTTCCTGCGACTAGGCCAAAACCCTGGAGGCGGTTACAAATGATTCATATAGCTCTTTTCAACTAATTTTAAGATTGAAGCGTAGTTGATTGATTGTTGATTTATTAGTCTTTTTTGTGGGTCTAGGAGATGAAACTGAAGGGTGGTGGCGAGAATGATTTCATTAGTCGAGGCATTTTAAACAATGGGGTTTGAAAAAAGAAAGAAAGAGTGCAATCCAATGAAGGGTGGTGGCTTGGATTAGCGAGAGACAAGATAATAGAGGATATGAAAATAAGTGCGTGATAGGTATCAGCGTTATAGTAAGTTGTTATGTGGTTCTTGTGTATATAAAAGGGTCAGACTGTAAATTATTTCGCATGAAAATACAGATGGAGAGTAAACAAACTAATAGATGGTCAATAGGCACTCAAGCTGGTCCGCGTAGGCCGTAGGGCTATGTTGCTTGGACTCTCCAACTACTGCCGCACCCATGTCGGATCCTAAAAAAAGGCACCCGATGACATTTTTGAAGAGTCTGAGCAACATAGGTGTAGGGCGGGTTCATGGCTTTGATCTTGACAAAGCTACACGTAAGTGAGCCACACTCAACTTTTCCGCAACTTAAAAGGTTCTCAAGCACCAGGTGGTCAAGAAAATGGAGGTATTTTAATAAATATATACTCAATGGTGCTGAGACATAAAATGTTGCATCGCCAGTATCTTCTTGCCAGCTACTTGCAAGTACTAGTCCCATCCCGATAAACTTCTCCTACTGTTCTTTTGTTGTTGCATCAATATGTTGTCCACTTTCTTTATTAAATAACAACAACCACGACCCAGTAAAATCCCACTAGTGGGGTCTTGGGAGGGTAGTGTGTACACATGCCTTACCCCTACCCTGAGAGAGTAGAGACTTTCTTTATTAAATATCACAAGAAATTTTAGGGGGCTCACGTTTATTCTCGTAACAATACAGATTACCCTATTTTTCTGTGCTGCAAATATAATTTAAGCCATACTTTCAACACTTGATAATCATGCCAAGTCAAAGTTAACAAGCAAATTTGGATGCCAAGTCAAAGTTAAATGCATTAGGAATGAGCTCAAATGCCCAAAAATCCTTGGTTTATGCCTGTAGCAAAATTTTTAATTGAAATGCTGTCACATGGTGTACGTAATTTGTCTTGTGCCACGGTCGTGATTGCTTCAGATGATTCTCTTCTCTTGATTAGCTAGGTTTCATAACTCTTGTTGCAAAAGTCATAGTCAACATTCCTTGACTTCCATGCATTACATTAAGGTGTATATGAGGGTAATTGAAGTAAACTTGTGCTCTTAGATGGGATGTGGTAATCCCCTTTTTCTATAATGGTGGTGCAGTTTCTAATATTTGACTCTGAAGGGTGTAAGCTAAACTATCATTTGCATTTGGCTTTTTCCATGAAATCATTTACTGGAGTTTTTTGGAGTTTGTTTTATGTATTAAATTGGTTTATATGACATGGAAATGCAGCAAGAGAGACCTAGTCTTCCAGAAGATATTTCTGCTGACATGGCATTTATCATACAATCATGTTGGGTGGAAGACCCTAATATGCGACCAAGCTTCAGCCAGATAATCCGGATGCTTACTGCGTATCTCTTCACACTTCCACCGCCCACACCATCCGTACCACTAACAGATTCTGTGGAGCAGACGGTTGCCAGCAATGGTACCATTGTTGAGTTTTCTGCAAGAGCAAGGGGAAAATTTGCTTTCCTTCGCCAACTTTTTGCTGCAAAGAAGGCTAAGAACTCACAGTAAGCTGGCAAAATTTTCAACACTTTACTCTCAAGCAGAGGGATGACAAGTGTTGAACAGAAACAATGTTAGTCGATTAACCAATAAACAAAACCAAAGGAAGAAAAACAAGTAGATAATGTCATTGTAAAGGAAGTTTGTTACCTGTACTTTCTTGTTCATATCCAATCCTCTCATTTTATGGGAATCTCTGTAGCGGTAGGCCGTATAGTAACAGTTTTCTTTTGCATTTTTCTCAGGATAGTGATGGCTGCTTCTCGGCAGATATTTCTAACAATATATGTTGCTCTTCAGAATGTTATTCATCTTAAGCTAATTTTTAAAGTATGTAACACTCCTATTTTGAATTGAGATATTTGTAGGATTGTTATTTTCATACTGTATAATTCTCTTCTTTGTGGGATCTTTTTCCCACAAGCATAATTGGAAAGCGATTCTTTATTGTGTTATTATTAGAAGATGACTAAGGATGAAACATCATGAGAACATAGTTTTTCTGCATCCGTTTTTGAAACAGTTATGTAGAATTTTAGCATGTGAAACATGTGCAGTTATGGATGGTGTATGACTGATCAAACTTTAAGGGGTTGTTTGGTTGGAATACGGCTTATGCCGGTATAAGTTATGCTGGGATCGTTGTTTATTCACTGTTTGGAATGTTGTATTAAGAATGACAATTGCATAATTTCTAAGAAGAAGGTATAAGTTATATCGGTGCTAATTACCCCATCCTCTATAAGGTATAAGTTATCTCGGTGTTAAAATTAACACCGAGATAACTTATACTTGGTTTGCTAACCAAACAGAGTATTAAGGTGATATTAAATTTTATATCACCCCTAAACCTTCTTATACCTCATGCCAAACGACCCCAAAAAGTGAAAATATTTGTCTTGCGAAACTTATCCACTTCAAAGCTACTATATATTTTTGGCTTAGATGTGTAATATAGAGTACAAATTCCACCCGGTAAATCCTAATCATTTTGTTGCTCAACTTTTATCAGAGTTAGTTGCAGTTTGAATTGGTCGCGGGACTTCCAAAACTTATATGTAGATAGTTCTAATAATGTCACGACCCAAACCGATGGGTCGTGACGAGTGCCCGAGTCCTACTTGTCGAATACCTCTAAGCATACGTCTAAGATATAAACATGAAATAGGGGTAGGTCATGCATAATATCTGTCAATAAACTGCTGAATCATGTGAATAACATACGTGAGGAAATATGCCCAAAAGATACACACACACACACACACATATATAGTAGGGCAAGCCGACAACGCTGCTATGGAAAACTATATATCGAAATAGAAACCGACAAGGCAACATACTATCCAACTATACATGACTATCTACAGACCTCTAATAGAGTGTACAACTATATAAAGGACGGGACTGGCCCCGTCGTGCCCATATATGTATACAAAAATATTGTACCAGAACCCAATAGTAGCTCTGGATCAAATGGAGCGCACCAACTCTCGCTGAGCAAGGATCTTAAGAAGGGGGACCGTCAGCTTGTCTACCTGCACCTATGGGCATGAAATGCAGGCCCCAGGCAATAGGGGCGTCAGTACGAATAATGTATCGAGTATGTAAGGCATAAAAATCAGTATATAAAAGACCTGAAGAAATATAGAGTAAAAGACTCAACCTGTAAGTCTGAATAGCTCTATGAATCATGAAACATTTATAATGTCATGCATATGTGTCTAAATATCATATCATGCATAGGTATTTGTGTACATAACATCATCAAGCCTCTGAGGGCATCCCATCATATCATCTCGGCCTCAGTGCGCAAAATTATCAATGTATACCAACCGATCAGGTGGTGGTGTGTATATAAGGCCGTAACCTTTCCCCATACCCCATATACATATAATATACGTGTATATAATGTCATCTAGTCATGTGTCAATGTACATGTATAAATGAATGGAATGCATAAGAAGTAAGTCAATAAGATCTCTCGGGATGTCATAAGATCAATATGCCTTCGGTTAATATCACGAAATAAACTTTATCAACTTACGTATTTTCTAAGACCCATGAACAAATGATATAATAATAGTACATATAGGGAATCAAGAACATCGGCAACCCTCATAGTTCTAAGAATAGAGCCATCTGTGAAAGTTGCGTGTTTGCTCGTTTCGTTGTATCATATTGATCATGCCAAAAGGAAAGAAGGGACAACCTTAACATACCTTATAGAAATCTGTCCAATAACAATGCTAAACTCAACTCACTCCACCCTAATCAACAACAATGACAATGAAGCTATTGTCAAGTTACGAATGACCGCCTTATTTATATAACGAAAGTAACTTAATCTGTAACAAAAAGGGCAGCATTTTCCCTGATTTTAATGCCCCCTCAAGCCTACTATAGGCGAGACAATAACACAATATAATTAACAACTCAAAATTAACCTAACTACAATTCGGGACCTTTAATACAACAAAAAATCCAAATATACCATAACACACCCAATCAACAAGTTATCAATTAGCCTGAAATTGCAACGATGAGTGACCATCCCACTACCCTACCACATGGGGTGTTTCTCCACGCCCCTTATCCTTCCAAACTCCATAAATCAGCAGCACAAGAGACTAACACGAGTGGACTATAAAATAGTTCACTACAAGTAGAATAAATCGAACTCACGGCTTCGATCATCGTCCCGTGAGTTCTAACTATTAGGAAATGAATTTATCAATCTTCATTGATACTTAAAAAACTTAAACACAACAAGTAAGCATTTCTTAACTATGAAGTACCTTCCAAAACTCAAACTACGAAGAAAAAGAGAGGTGGTATAATTATACTTACGTTGTAGGGATCGTTCTAATGTTATCACTTCTTGATTTTGTACCCAGGATGTTAATCTTTTTTGAAACCCTTTTAGAGAGCTTAAGGATATGTTTATGGGTGTTCTCTATTCATGTTCTATGAAAAAATGAAGAGAAAGACGACTTAAGACCTATATATATCAACTTTTGAAAAGTCAAAGAGGTGCTAGCTTGACACCCTAGCATTGGCCCTTCTTCAGACTCCCATATCTTTTTATCCGGACGTCGTATGAATATACGGTTAAGAGTGTTAGAAACTAAATTCCAAGACCTTAAATTTGGTATATAATATGTCCCAAAGTTACCTCATATAGCACACAAAATGTGTTTCTCTAAAAGCTTTGTTACAAGGAAAATCCCTAGTCGGTTTTTCCGCAACTTAAATCCGATTTTCCCCAAACTTTATATTTTATATCTAAATATCATATATAGTCGTATTATGAATTTACACTCATTTAAATCATGATTAACAAGTCTTATATTCATTATACATCACCTTGGAATGCACAAGGTGTAACAATCTTCACCCCTTAGAAACATTCGTCCTTGAATGTTAAACTCCTAGAGATCTATAGAAATTTTGGCAGAGTCTCCTCTATAACGGTACTAATACCAAATTGTCATGCAGAAAACCCAATAATACAAAGCCACACGGGACAACAATCATCAATAACACCAATAGCCTCACACGACCAATGACAGTAACTAACATAAGAATCGAGTATCATATGCGCACCTACAGGTTGTGATGCTTCAATCTGCTCCTCCTCCGGAAGCGGAAACAAGTGAGGATACCTCGAATTCATGTCTTCTTCAGCTTCCCAAGTCATCTCGTCCACATTCTTGTTTCTGCAAAATACTTTAACCGAAGCTACATCCTTAGTTCTCAATCTACGAACTTGACTATCTAGTATAGAAATGGGAGCTTCCTCATATGATAGATACTCTATGACCTAGACATCATCAACTGGAACGACTCTAGAAGGATCTCTGATACACTTACAGAGCATAGACACATGAAATACTGGATGTACAAACTCCAAGTTGGAAGGCAAGTCTAACTCATATGCTACCTGACCTACTATGTGTATGATCTTGTAAGGTCCAATGTGCCGAGGGATAAGCTTTCCTTTATTACAAATTCTCATAACACCTTTCATCGGTGATACCTTTAGGAATACCCCATCATCTACCTAAAACTCCAAGTCTCGCCGTCAATTATCTACATAGGACTTCTAACGACTCTAAGCTGCTAATAGCCTTTCATGTATAAGCTTAATCTTCTTAAATACCTATTATACCAACTCTGGTCCTACTAACTTAGTTTCCCCAACATCGAACCATACGATAGGTGACATACACTTTCATCCGTAAAGAGTTTCGTATGGAGCCATCTGAATGCTAGAATGATAGTTATTATTATATGCAAACTCAATAAGCAGAAGATGATCATCTCAGCTACCCCTAAAGTTTATCACACAAGCCCGTGGCATATCCTCAAGTGTCTGAATATTACGCTCAGCTTGACCGTCTGTCTAGGATGAAATGATGTACTAAGACTTACCTGAGTCCCAATCCTTTTTGAAAAGACCTCTAGAAATTAGCTGTAAACTGAGTAACTCTATCTGAGATAATAGATATATGGACACCATGAAGTCGTACTATATCCTTAATGTAAAGCCTTACATAATCCTCTACTGAATACGTAGTCTTGACAAATAGAAAATGTGTTGATTTGTAAGTCTATCAACAATCACCCATATAGAATCGAACTTACGCTGGGTACGAGGTAAGCCTATGATGGAATCCATATTAATTACTTCCCATTTCCAAGTTGGAATCGCTATAGCCTGCAATAATCCACCGAGTTTCTGATGCTCAATCTTAACCGCTGACAATTAGGACACTAAGCAACAAACTCTGCTATATTTTTCTTTATTTCATTGCACCAGTATATTTCCCTGATATCATGATACATTTTCGTCCCTCCTAGATGAACAGAATAATGAGAATAGTAAGTTTCTCCCATAACTTGCCGGCGCAGCCCTGGCACATTAGGAACACATAGTCGACCTCAATATTTGAGGACTCCATCTCCTGTAATCTCAAATGGTGTCTTCTCCTTTTAAGGGGATGTATCTCTGTAATGAGCTAGCACAGGATCCTCATACTGTGTTCCTTAACTTTAAAGAGGATGTTGCCTTGTCCTGAATAGTAACTCCAGTATCACCTGAATCTAGTAATCGAACTCCAAGACTAGCTAGATGATGAATCTCATAGGCTATATAACTCTTCTATGGTTGTAAATATGATAGGCTACCCATAGATCTATGGCTGAGGGCATCAGCTACTACATTTGCCTTCCTTGGATGGTATAAAATATCAGCATCGTATTCTTTCAGTATCTCCAACCATCACCTCTAACATAAATTCAATTCCTTTTGCTTGAAGATATACTGAAGGCTCTTATGATCCGTATAGATATCAACATGTATTGCCATACAAATAGTGCCTCCA